ACTTCACCATCATCAATAGCGGTACGAGAAGTCGTTACACAAGAAGAAGCAGACGGAATACCAATCGTGGAAGATAGTCCAGACGAGGACTCCAAACTCGACCTCGAAAACCTGCAACGGGTGTATGAAAACTGGGACTTCGACTCCGAAGATGATGACAACAATGATGACGATACTCTATCCTTTTACAGCGAATCCGCAGAGAGTGGGGAGGACAGCAATACCTCATTCGGGACGAATGAGTCTTAGAGAGGGGGTAATGTTACGGTTTATTCTTTTCTTTTCCTTTTCTTACGCATTCATGCTTACTATGTTACTGCGGAACTGCGGTTCTGATCGGACGTTCTATTTTTAGTTTACTCAACGAGTATTTAAGTAGAGCCTCAGCTGGATTAAACCCCAGCTTCGGCTAAGGTTTATTCTACCTAACATCGAACTCCGTCCTTCGTGACTATCTGTCCCATCGACTTGCATCGTCTTTGACTTGCTAGAGCGTCTCCTACCGAAGTGCGAGTAGGGATCCTAGTACGATCTAAGTCGATTGAGTTAGTGGCTAACATCCATGTAATCGATAGTCCTGCATACAAAGTACTTCTAGGAAGACCATTCGATGTTGTGACTGAAAGTCTTATAAAGAATAATTCTGACGGAGGTCAGGTCATCACTATCACTGATCCTAACACTGGTCGACGATGCACTATTCCTACTTTCACAAGAGGAACAACGTTTAGAATGACTAGACCTGTTGAGGCCGAGGGTTTTCACAGCTCGAAGATCTGATAGACGATCAGGGAGAGCTAGCAGTACAACTCGTCAGGAACAGTGATGGAAGCATAGAAATTGAAGCCTATATCAGCCCTGAAGGAAAAGCTAGCTTCTCAAAAGAGGGATTATGAGATGCATTCCTCATGGCCGCCATCGAGAACAATGAAGATATAAGAAAAGATACAGCTGCGGTGGACTTATTACACTCTTATTTTCAAGGGAAAGTCGTGCCACCTGGATCAAGTATGTTCTGTTGCGTACGCCTGCAACGTGAAGAAGAAATACAAGACCTAGATAATCTAGAGGTGCCCATTTATAATGTACAATGTACTAATTGGTCGCGCCCGACTCCGGAGACTAAAGACAAATATAAAAAGACGACTTTAGTACCAGGATTAGAACATCTAGGCGAAAGAATGAATAACAATGGCTACAAGCCAGTCTCGGTCTTAGCCACTAAGAAATATAAACCAGTTGCCTTGAAAGTTAAGCCTCTTCTCGGCGACTTACCTGATAAATTCAGGATCATAAGGGAAATAAAAGGAGATCCACTCACGGATATGCCAGTATTAAATCCTCACCCTCCTGATTTTGAACCCACTGGACATTATACACATGAACGGAAACTAAAGATAGATGAGAACCATCCAATGGGATTTCTATGGCCCGAAGAGCGAAAGCTAGTACACCACTTTATGTGTCTTCAAGAACAGGGCTTCACCTGGGAAGACACTGAGGCAGGACATTTCCGAGAAGACTTCTTCCCGCCTATAGACATTCCTGTGGTACCTCATATGCTTTGGGTTTTGAAGAATATACCCATACCACCTGGAATCTATGACAAGGTGTGTCGAATCATCAAGTCAAAGATTGACTCGGGCATCTATGAGCCCTTGAATTCATCCTATCGGTCTAGATGGTTTTGTGTGATAAAGAAAGACGGTAAAAGCCTGAGACTAGTACATAGTCTGGAACCCTTGAACGCAGTAACAATCGTGCACTCAGGAGTTCCCCCTGCAACTGATGAGTTATCAGAACATTTCGCTGGAAGAGCCTGTGGAGGTTGTCTAGATTTATATGTTGGATACGACGAACGCAATATAGCAGTCAGTTCCCATGACTATACAACATTCCAAATGCCTTTTGGGTCGATGCGTCTGGTAAAACTACCAATGGGTTGGACAAATTCCGTACCTATCTTTCATGAAGATGTGACGCATATACTCTGAGAAGAGATTCCCCATATAACTCGACCTTATATTGATGATGTGCCGGTACGCGGACCTGAAACCAGGTACGAAACTGAGGACGGATCATATGAGACTATACCTGAGAACCCTGGAATTTGACGTTTTGTGTGGGAACACATGCAGAACATGAATTGAGTAGTTCAAAGGATGAAATACTGTGGAGGTACCTTCTCAGGGCCTAAGTCGTTTATTTGCGTCGACGAGATGACGGTCGTGGGACACCTATGTACGTATGAAGGACGAAAAATCAGTACAGATAGAGCAGGAGTCATTGAACGTTGGGGACCATGTAAACACATCTCGGACGTGCAAGGTTTCCTAGGTACTTGTGGAGTCTGCAGAATGTATATCAAGGATTATGCTAAGAAAGCAGAACCACTCGTAAAGCTAACTAGACTGAATACACCGTTCGTATGGGAGCAGGATCAACAAAACGCTATGAACACCTTGAAAAAGGCCGTTCTAGATAGCCCTGCTCTGCAACCTCTAAAACTAGATGGAAAAGGTGAAATCGGGATATCTATAGATACATCCTGGAAAGCAGTCGGCTTTATAATCTATCAAATTGACGAAGAGGATCCTACCAAGCGACATTACACGCGATTTGGATCTATAATGCTAAATGAACGAGAAGCTCAGTTCTCGCAACCTAAGAGAGAACTCTACGGCCTACTCCGCGCCCTGAAAGCATGTCAGTACTGGTTAATTGGGGTATGCAACTTAGTAGTCGAGACAGATGCACAGTATATTAAAGGAATGTTGAATAACCCTGGGATGGGACCAAATGCGACCATAAATAGATGGATCGAGGACATTCTAATGTTTCATTTCACTCTTAGACATGTCCAAGGCATGACATTTCCGGCTGATGGGCTATCTCGATGAGATCCACAGCCTGGAGATGAAGAGTACCCTGATCTCAAAGGAATGGACCTCGAGGATCATGGCCCCTTGAAATTTGAAGTAGCACCAGGAACTTCAACGGTGCTCAAAGATCTCGAAGATTTTAAGCATGAAATAGATACTAGAGGAGGATATTTACTCGTGACTAATATCACAGATCTCGAGAAAGAACTAGGAGAAGCTAGAAGACAAGAACAAGACTATAGAGACCTGTATTTAGCTCAAGAAGTTAGGAACAAAAATATATGCCAATTCATGAACAATACTCCTCTCATTCCTGACCTCGAAGACAGATTCGATCAAGAAAGCTCTATCGAATACCCAGAGGATCATAGAATGAGTAATGGGAAAGCACAAGACGAGCGTCTACCCTTGGTATGGACTTGGTTGAAGAACCCTAGATTCCATCCAGAGGACTTTAATGAGAAGCAGTACACCAATTTTAAACAGTACTGTCATAACTTCTTCCTGGATAAGGAAGGCAGGCTCTATAGACACAATATAGAAGGCTTTCATCGACTTGTCGTCGATAAAGAACACCATATGTATATGATGAAAGCTAGTCACGACTCGCTAGGTCATAGAGGATTCTTCGCGACGAAGTCACTCCTAGAACAGAGATTTTGGTGGCCAGAGTTAGATCGAGATGTGAGCTGGTATGTCAAGACTTGTCATATGTGCCAAGTTCGTCAGAAAACCATGCTAAGAATCCCTCCTACTCACACCACAACTCCATCTCTGTTTCAGAAAGTACATTGTGATACCATGGTTATGCCAATTCCTTCAAACAAGTGTCGGTATATTGTTCATGTCCGAGATTCTCTTTCGTCATGGCCTGAAGGTAGAGCACTACCTCTATAAAATGCAAAGACCATCGTGGCGTGGTTCTTTGAAGATGTCGTATGCTGCTGGGGGTGTCCTGATGAGATTGTAACAGATAACGGAGGTCCTTGGGTCGCTGTATTGCAATGGCTCGAAGATAAATACGGTATTACTGGAATAAAGATCTCGCCTTACAACTCCCAAGCTAATGGCAAAATCGAGAGGCCACATTGGGATATTCGTCAAGCCTTGTATAAAGCTACAGATGGGAATCCTAAGAAATGGTTTTATTTCTTCCCTCATGTATTATGGGCGGATCGCATCACTATCAGAAAAGGTACAGGCTGTTCGCCTTACTTCATGGTTTTGGGAGCGCATCCCATCTTGCCGCTAGATATAGTCGAAGCTACCTGGTTGGTAAAACTGCCTAGTGGAATCTTAAAAACAGAAGAGCTCATTGGTTTGAGGGCACAGGCTCTGGCAAAACATATCCAACATGTACAGGACATGCAAGAACGAGTTAGCCAGACCAAACTAGAAAATGTTCTTCGATACGAGAGAAACCATAAGGCTACCATTGTTGATTATGACTTTAAACCAGGTCATCTGGTTCTAATAAGAAATACACGTGTAGAAGACAGTTTGAATAATAAACTGGACGCTAGATATCTAGGGCCAATGATTGTAATATGAAGAACGAAAGGGGGCTCGTATCTCCTCTCCGAGATGGATGGATCTTTAGTTGGGGGCAAGATCACGCAATTTAGAGTGATTCCCTACAATGCGAGATATAGAGTCGATCTTCCTGAGAATATTCACGACTTAATAGACGTTAGCCCTGAGACACTAGGAGACTTGGTTAATGACGAGGAGTCTGAAGAAACGGAGTATGAATATCGTGACTTAAAACAGCGCAAGGAGTTATATGGTATTGACCATGTCAAGTTATCATTAGACGATGCCGAGCCATCAGATACTGACTCAGAAGATGAAGAATACTCTGAGTTTAGAAACTACGATGAGGAAAGCGATCTCGAAGATGACCTTCCCCTCGCAAGTCAACTTAGAAGTTCAGGTCAGGCTTGAGAAACAACATAACTCCCTTATAATTGAACAGACTTGTAACGACAGAATATGCTAAGTAGATCAAATGGGATACTAAGCAAGTTGGTATAAGCCTTGAGAAGCGATAAACTAGGATAAAGAACTGTATAAGGATATAAAAGAATGACTAGAAGTTAGTTACTTAAAGGGAACCATCTACTTGGAGTGATATTCTGTGGCAGTTGTTGAGAGACAGTCAGAGACGTCGTTGTCAGTACAATGCTCACAAGCATTGTCCTCGGCAGCGGCCCGCCTCTTGAGTGCCTTGATAACTTGACCATGGTGATTGACGACAAATTGACGATACTGAATTAGATACTCGATGCGATGGACAGTCGCGATAATGTCATTGCGAAGGTCTGCCTCCCGTGAATGAAGAACAGTCTCGCTGGGATTGACAGAGCCTCCCTCGGCGATCAGTTTGGCGGTGATTGCCAGAGTTTCTTGAGTACTCTTGTTGTTGAGAGCTAACTCGGCCGCTAGGATTTACGAAAGTAAGTTTAGCACTTAGAAGTGTTAGAGTATACACACCTGCCATCGAATACGCAGAATCGTTAAAAGCAAAGTTGTTGGAGGCCCTAGGACGCTTGCGAGCTTGAGTAGCAGCATCATGAGCAGCTGCCTTCGCTACGACAGCCTCTGCACGGTGGTAATCCTTGGAAGTTAAGTCCATACCGGGTACCTCAGCATAAGGAAGGAAAATTACCTCCGCACACTTGGGTTGTTGATGTTTATAACTCAAAACTGTTAAATAAGAATAGGACTTCGAGACGAGGAGATGAAACTCACCGCGTCCTCTTTGACTTTGTTCTTCTTGAACTTAGGAAGCACCTTGTGCCCTTCGACGATGTTGCCTGAGCTGGGATCCTTGTTGACCATGATCTCAACCTCGTCGTCAATGGACATCTGCTGAAGGCAAGCAATGACTTCATCAGCAGTGCACACAATGGCAGCTAGAAAAGAGATAGATACTGTATCAGTGTCCAGGATGGTGCAGGGAGTATCGGCATTACCCATCACAGTATCCTCCTCGATTGCAACTAGAGCAGGAGGTTCGTCGTCTGAGGAGTCCTCAATGATGGCCTTCGACTTGGGCAGTTTCTTTCCCTTCTTAGCGGCCTAGAAAATGAAAATTGATTGAATACTGGTGATCTCGACGATAGGTAGCATGTCCACATACCATGGCCTTGGCCTTCCCTTTCGTAGATAAAGGTTTGCTGATGAACCATCAGCTGCAGATGAAGCAGCAGCTTGCCCAGTAGCAGCATTCGCCTTAGCCTTGGCTGCCAGTACAGGGTTAGACAGTTGAGCTCAATGCTTGCAATCTGCATAAATTTGCCCAGTAAAAGCACGAACGATATGATAATCTCCGAATGGTTGAGTGCTGAGGTGAGCCTTCTGAAGGCACTCGAAGACTTGCTTGAGACGGAAAAGCAAGTCCTCCAGCCTCTTGTTGCCGAAGACGTGGCCAGGAGACCGTGTAATCTCGACCTATAATACCATTGAAGTCAATCCGAGATCGCATGCGATTGTAATAGAGAAAAGACTGACACCTAAACCAAACAGTTTCTTGCATTGCTTGAGCTGCTTGCTGATGTCGACACCGAGTTCGAAGAGCTGGTCGCAGAAACGCATGGCATCATTGGCCTTGGTGATGAGAGTGGCAAGATCGATGGGAATTTTGGAGCTGGCGGACATGGTGAATGCGAGTAATAAGTGTGTAGACCAGAGTGTAAAGAGTGTGGAGTGTTCTAAGTCGTTGAGGTGAGTTGGAACGATTTCTACTTCAACGAGGACGTTGATTTTTATAGTATGGGGGAGGGGTTGACATGGAACTCATGGAACTCCGAGATTAGAGAAAAATTTTTGCGGAATTCACATTCCTAGAAAATATATATGGAGCATACATGTGTTTAACTACCTAGCCATACAAATAAGCGCTCGAGGACTCCTAGAATACAGAAATAAGAACCGGCTGAACTTAGAAGAGATCGAGCGATCACTTTTAATTTAACTTGGTAACTACCGAGATCAGGCGTGGAGTGTCCGGTGACTTAAAATAACCCAAGTCTAAAAATAAGACAAACAGTAAATAGAACTAAGTCATCAAGGCAACCTAAGAAGGCACCTAGGGGTGGTTAAATTCTTAAAAGGATACCTTACACTTTTAGAAGATTGCACAAAAGAGGACAAGATGAAATATATTTATTCATTTAAAAGCCAGGGTGACTGGCTGGTTAGACATATATAATTCTGCCCGAAGGCGCACTGCACAGACAATGAATACAGAAAAGAAAAAGCCCGGAGGCACAAGAAAACCAGGCGGAACCCAAGAGAAAGACCAAGGCCTGATTAGATCTCGACAAGCAAGAAGGCTCGAGATACATGGGATTGAGATCATACTCAGACCTCTGCGTCCAAGTCTCCATCAGCATCCATTTTGCCACCACCCCCCTCTTCGCGACGAAGAGCTTCATCTCGCTGTGGGGAAGATGCATCGTCTATCCAAAATAACAGAAGTCAGTAAAAGAAAGAAGAAAAGAATGGAGAACAGGATAAAACTAACAACTCAATGAAAAAGGACCAGTTTCATCCTCATCCTCTGGATTCGTCGAGACTTCCACTTCTTGAGCAGAAAACCCATCGAGGAGTCCGTTGATGGCTGATACGTCAGTAACAAGGGACTCCTTGGCCATGACACGACCTTCATACTCAACGGTGTCCCGGATAACAGCGTCGATGTCCTTGCAAGTGTCGCAAAGAAGCTTGGACAGATGGCCAGCGGTCTCGCAGGCACTATCAAAGGCCTTGACCAAGTACTCGGCCGTCCCGAGGAGTCGGTGAAGATCTAGAGGTTGTGATAAGAAAAACAATCAGCATAAATAAAGGAAATAGTGAAGGAGGTACTTACTGTCGGGTGTCCTCTCCACGAATGGGTGTATCGAGACACGTGCTCAGTACCGCTCTTGAGGACTAGCCTTGAATGAACAAACCACCTTCTTTCCCCTTTGACAGTTCCCACAAGGAACACCCCAGCCCATGAATTCACAGGGCTTAGACTGGCTGCCCACAGCACAAAGTGAGCAGGGAACCTTGGGCTAAGAAAACAGAAAAGACTATAAATGAAAAGAGTAACAAGAGATAGGAAATGGATTTACATCCATGGTCGTGGTAGCCAGCCAACGAACTTCATCGGCATCTACTGGCCACATGGTGACCGGGTCGAAGGCAATATTTCATGCTGAAGAGAGTTCGTCAATAAAAACAAAAACGGATAACCAAGAAAGACTTACAAGGCACCTGGGTGGCAGCTTGTCGACCGAGCTGTGCCATGTGCTGTTTCGTCATCTTCTTCGGGAGCTCTGGGCTCTCGTCGCGAACATTTGAAGTCTCAACATGAGACTCCATGGCGGCAATCGCAGCCGTGCGCTTCCTCTTCTCTCCACGAGTACGAATAACTTGTTCCTCGACTACACCAACAGGCAAGTCGACGGACGGAGGAACAGCTAGACAGGAAGATAAAAACAGAAGTTAACATTGAAAGAATGAAAGACAAAAAGAATAACATGCACCAGCAACAGAGTGACGATTGGGACCAGGTTTTGTATGCTTGGAAGGACTTCCCTGCGAAGCAGGGGGACGAAAAGGTTTCGCAACGACTACCGACTCCTCGTCAAGAGAGTTACCAGCATCGTCCTCATCAGTCCTTGTCCTCAGGCATGGAAGTTGGCCCTGCCGTCTGGCCTTTAGCGAACTTTTGCAGTTTCTTGACGGAAACCATGCCTTTCTTTGACTTGGGCTAAATCAAGGTCAGATCTAGGCGACATGGAAAGAACTTAGCAAAATAAGTACTTGCCTGAGTCTTGCTTTTGCCCTTTGAAGAGGAACCAGACGGGGTTGGAACCGTTTGAGACGATCGCGGCATGAATTTTGGCGCTGGCTCGTTGACAGAGAAACGGATGGCCTAGTCAGGGCGAGGAAACAAAAGTTAGTTGTAAAAGAAGATAAAATGAAGAGAAGAAATGCACGTAGGGCACCCCGTGAGGAGTCAACGACAACTCATCCCACCGCTCATCATACATCTCCTTGGAAATCTCGATGGCAACCAAAGAAAGTGTGTAGGCCAGGTTGAGGGCAAAGCCTCGATACTCAATGTTGGGTCGCGCCCTGGCAGCCTTGAGAATACCAACCTAGACGCCGAGATTAGCGTGTTCAACAATGGTCTCGAACAGAAGATTGAACTCATGGCTGCTGGTGCCGCCTCTTTCAGTAGTCGCATGCGACGCATGGCTGGAATCGTAAGAGCGGCCCCAGGCGAGAACATGGGAGTCAAAGTAGGCCAGAGAGAACGAAGAGTTTCGAAAGACATTGGAAGCACATGAGAAAAGTAGAAAGACGAAGACTAGAAAAGAGAGATGGTCGCGTAGTAGGCGTAGACAGATCTCGACGAGTAGGGAAGCAAAGAAAAACAAACGGAGTTGCTTCGAGAAGACTTTGAAATAAAATTAGAAGTCTGCCTCGAAGGCCGTTTCCCGGCTACAGGCTGAGTCTGAACCCACGGCCGACACCAAGGACAGACCTGTGAAGGGCTAAGCAAGAAGAATCCATACAAGCATGAACAAAGGAATTTGTAACGAGTTCACTAAGAATAAAGATGGACACGACGTGAATTGAACTAAAAATAAGTTTAATATTGATCGCGGCAGCTGTCAAACCCTGAAAATCATGATGAAATGCTGATTTGTAAGACAACACAAAGATACCCCATGGGGATTTCAAACATGAAGTGCAAGAACATCTAGGATTCTACAGAGAACAAATAAAGAAGTACCATGGCACTCCATTACTGAGTCTCAACAAGACACAAGTGACTAGGGACAGTCACTATTATAGTAAGGGGGAGATGATATGCCTGGTATCAGGCTACCTGTAGATTTTGCGATTTTACATCAGTTTATGCAATCTACAAGCGGTACAGAGGGCTACAGTGGAGGCTTTGTGCTGGTAGCTAAAATACTACATAAAGAATGAAAGCACGGCAGTACAGAACGGACTTAGAAACGACGTCTCGAAGAGTCAATTCTACCAGCCATCAACATGCCAAGCTAAGCCCCACCTAAACAAGACTATTACAGTCAAATCTCGGGGACTTGTCTGTATGGAGTATAAAAACCAAGAAGTTGAAGAATGGAATGAACTAGATGCCTTGTAGCCTCGACAAGTAGAAAGAACCTGTCAAGAAAAAATTGCTAAGTCGAGAAACAGATCAGCTTTCGAGATCAACTCAGGCTAGGAAAGGAATAACCTTGGAAGAATGAATAGCCGCGTTGGGTACCGAGATGACCGACCTTGATCACGCAGTGATCAACAGAATATAATCTTGGACCTGCAGTCGATCGCGATCGGTGGTTACATCCTCGAGATCCTGCGCATACCACAGTATTCAATACATATGGCATGCAGCAAGCCTTGCAGACAGAAGAAGGAGCACCCATGGACCAGTAGGGCACTCCTCGGCGACAGAATAAACCAGTGCAGTCATGTCAAACTGAATAGAAACTATGGAATGGCATGATACTTGTAGGATAGTGACTCACCGTTTGTATTAATTCCAAAGCTCGTACCATAATTACTGTAGATATGGGCTCCTATACCTAGAACACAAATCGTATAAATTAGCAGTGACTAGACGCATAACAGCAGGAAAGCATTCCCCCGTGTTTGTGCTAGTAGCCTGTATAGCTACCTAATCAATCACTGGTTTTATTGCATATCCTCGACTGAAGTGAATTAAGTTACCAAAGTCAACCCATAAGAGCGACTACAGTAATCTAGAAGAGTTAAGTAGGAAGTAGAGCTGTCCCCATGTTTGCACCTTGCTAGTTAATTGAACTGCTCCACAGACAAAGGCCTCATGCTCTCTCTCTCCGAGATTAGCGATCTAGATGTGCTGAGTCGGCTTTAAGTCAAAAGACCTCATCTAGTTGAAGTAAAATAAGCCCTAGAACGCTTTAAGTTTGAACAATCGTCAAGTTCAAGGAACTCCAGAGTCTGTGTACTCTTTGCAAGTCTCGTACTTGAAGTCAGAACCTGAGCGTTCTTTGTAGAGTGATTTTGCACTCTTTGTAGACCTCGGAGTCTTTGGTTGTTTGATTATTTGAAGTGTCCGCTAGAAGCTCTTCTAGACGACGTCAAAACGAGTATAACTTGCTCAACTATACCTTGCAAAACAAGTTCATAAAACCCTGCTATCATGGACTAGTGTACTTTGTGTAAAACACATCGAAAGAAGAATTGAAGTTGGTTTCAGACAAAACCCCACTAGATTATCTAAATCTAAGTATATCGCGAGTGCTTCTATCGTACTCACCCTCAAACTTATATACATTGGTGATAGTGTGTGTGTGTGTGTGATTTAGTATCTAGATTGACAATCTAGATGCTTGTTTCATTTGCGCGCTGCCCGTTACCGAGCATATCACTGAGACCTGGTATCATGCTGCCATTGACTGGAACCAAATACACCCCGACCAACCCATAGCGCCAGGATGATGCTATGGGGAAGAGTCATTCCCTGAACTAGGGATCGTAGGCCCAGAAAACCCGATCCCCAACACGGCTTGGGCACCATCCAACACCCTGGGACTAGCTGCTGCAGGAGGAGGAGGAAAGTTCCATGCTCGAAGCATGGGTGGAGACCCCTCACAATTGGCGCCAATGGGAGAAATGGGTGGACCAGCACCCACTGCTCCTGGAGGAGGTGGAGGTGGCCCAGGAGGACCAGGAGGAGGTGGAGGAGGACCTCCACCAATACCACCTTGACCTCCAGCGCAGCCGCTGTCACCCCATAGTAATCAAAATCTTCGATCACTACCCTGACCTGCCAACCCCCCCCTTACCACCTGATCCGCCAGATGGGTGGGCTATTGCCAATGGACAACTCAATCCCTGGGGAAATGTGAAGCCAACGTTGATAGAAGTCCCCGACAAATTCCATGGGAAGGCCAGCGACTTGGATTGCTTTTTTAACCACTGCAAATACTACTTCGAGGTCTTCGCCTAATACTTCGCACTCAACGAAGCATATGGGTATGGCCCAAGTCGAGTAGTTTTTGCCGCCCACTGGTTTGGTGGGGAAGCGATGACCTGGTGGGTCCATCAACAATGACACTACAAGGACCCACACAGTGGGAGACATTGCCTTCCCTCCTGGGAGACCTTCCAGGAAAACGTCCGAACACGTTTCAAGGAAGTAGCAGAGGTCCAAATCAAGCAGATGCAATGGAAAAAACTGCAACAAGCGCAGTTTAAGACAGCCATCGAATTCTTTGAGAGATTCGAACAGCTGGCCATGGAAGCAGAACACTTTGACAACAACGTGGAAATGGAGGAAGTTGTCACCCTCACAATCCGACCCAGGGTCAAGGAGATCATTATAGGTGGAGACAATATGCGGCCTACCACCTACTGGGAGTGGAGGTGCAGGGTCCTACAAATGGACGAGAACTACCGAGTTCATCTCGCCCAAGGTGGGAAGTATCCCAGCGGGTCCGCTGGTTCCAAGCCCAGAACAGTGGGGGGCTCTTCGAGTGGCTCAAAGGGCAGAAGGGACGCCACTGGATTCACCTACAGCGGTGAAGGCGAACCTATGGACATTGATCATCTCAAAAGAGAAAAGCGATGTTTCCGGTGCAGACACACTGGACACCAGGGGCGGGACAATAAGTGCCCGCCTGACAAGTTGAAGTGGCTGAAATTTTCAAAGAAAAAGTGATCAACTTTTGCAACCTGTCTCTGAGCCGTCCTAGCAGAAATAGAGGAGGAAGACCTTGCTAGCTTGACAGAGATCGAGGAGATAAAAGAGACGCCAGCATAGGACTCTGCGATTCTACTTTGTCGGCTGGGGTTTATCATGGTGTGCCTTATGACATGAATATTCATGCTTATGCTGTATCTGTAGATACTTGTAACAATATATCGCATTCATCTCACACTATGAAGGAATCGCAAAACAAAAACAGTGTATCAGGGGATTACCACCACCCGTCGAGCAATGAACCCCGAGGGTCGGGCACGAAAGAGTCGGACCCGACTAGCGACTCGAGGCCATACCAGTGCGAGACAGATCTCAATCAGCTGATTGAGGATCCAGAAGCAACTCTCGATCGACTGATCAAGAACCCAGAGCGAGTTCTCGATCAACAGATCAAGAGTCCAGGTACGACCAGGAATGAAGCCCAGGATCGACGGGGCTCCTCATGCCTGTCCCAGCCACTCGACGCTTGCTTAAAAGCAGGAGGGGGACCCTCGAGTTTGCCCATTAACAGCGTACACAGGATTTCCACTGCTTTCACTAGCAATGAACCCCACCAGCCAAGTCCTAGTGCTGGTGGTACCTGCTGTGTCCAAGCCACTGCAAATACCCCTTTGGGGCACACGTACGATGCAGAGGAGTATACTGGTTCGACAGGCAACCAAGGGTGGAACCTTGGGGGTGTGACATCGTTGCTCCCTGCAGGCAACGTCTGCCATATGGGAGGTCAAAACGAGGACTATGTAGTCCAACTCCCAGGAAAGTCGCATATAGCGGCAGTGGATCTAGACGATGGTGAACTGGCATCTCCCCTGTGCATCAAGGTTCCCTGATGACAGACCACTTCGGTGATGGTGAGGTCGGGGAATCCAGGTGAGCCTGGGGATGAAGCCGAAGGCTAGCAGAGCCCAGCGGACCTGATGGTGGACTGTTGTAAAGCCTCTGGAGATAACCCGGTGCCATACGTGGAACCAAGTAGAAAGGGTACCCAGGGAACGGCCACCTCTATCCTAGAGGACACCAGCCGAAAAAGCTCAATCGCCCACAAGGATCAAGCAGGCCAAACAGGGGAGAGAGGCTCCCCTTCCCAGGTATGTACCTCCTTGGAGGATGGCATTAATGGCGAAAGCAACCCTAGGTATTTAAAGAGTTTATAGAACTCTCCAAAATCCAGTGAAGTCCCAACTAACCCGAGTGGGTGTCCACACCGAGGTGAAAGGGAACTGACCAGTTGCACGGTCATAGGAGCAGGGCCTTTGCAGCCTATGGACTGCGACAATGAGAGGAAGACCCCGATGCAGCCAGCATCAGTGGAGTACTCTCAGGGCTCCCAATGGCTGAAGCCCTTTGGAGCTGCCTGGACTCAACGAGCTATGCGACTCGCCAAGACCCCAGGAGAGAAGATATCACTGCTCAAACAGTGGGTCCACCCCCGACGACAAATGGAGGTGGATGAGCTGCTGGTTACCGACTTGGAGAACCAAGTCGGGGAGTCCTATCTGGATGAATACCGAAAGCTGGAACATATGGACCAGCTCACCAAACCACCCCAATAT